AATATTGGCTTAATGCAACTTCACTTTGAAAGTATTCCAATGTGATCAGAGAAATCAAACTTGGCCTAGTATCTTCAATATAAAAATATCTACCTATGAAAAAATAATATTAAAAAATCCATGGGGCTCCTGAGTGTCTCAGTCAGTTAAACATCTGCCTTTGGCTCATATCATGATCTCAGGACCCTGGGATCCAGTCCTGAATGGAATGGGGCTCTCTGCTCGGTGGGGAGCCTGCTTCTCGTTCTCCCTCTGCCTGCTGCTCTGCTCTGCCTACTTGTGCACTCGTGCTCTCTGCTCCTCTCCCTGTCAAATAAATAAATAAAATCTTTTTAAGAAAAAATCCTAACATGGTAATACAGGTCTTTATCCCATGGCCCAAAAGTACACCAAAATAAATGTACTTAATGTATATAAATAAAAGTTTTAAAGATATGAGCATGTTGTATTAAAATGTTTCATATGGAGGAAAAAAATAGAATTCCTGACATTTTAATATGGTGTTATTCATCAGCCATGGACTGAAATCTCATGGTAGAAAAGGGCCAGGCCAATGCTGAAAGGTTTCAAATATCAAACTGTACTATTATGTCAGTGACCTAAGATCAATTAGCACCTTTCAATGACAGAAAAGGTTACAGTGAGACTCAGAGGTGCACTCTCTGAAACTATTTTAAACCACCATAAAAATGTGGTATTGATAACTCAAAATGGTTTCTATTTTTACATTAATCTATTTCATCTCTTTTTCTGAAAGACAGAAAAGGAGTTAGGGCAGTAAGGGTAGTGGTATTCATTTTCAGTACCTCTCAACTAGTAGAAACATAGCTGGATACATGAAAGAATCACAAAGTTCAAGAGGAAAATGGCGCATCACCAAGGCATATACTAACGTGCAGTGCCAGGGGCAACAGAAGATGACAGTGACGTTTACAAAGTCTTCAGACCTCTTAAAAATTATCAAAACTGCTTGTACTGCGCTTGAATATGTGATTCTTGTTTGTTTGTTTTCTTCCATTCAAGTTTAAAATAAGGATGCTAGGTTTGGCTCCATGTACAATTTAATGAATATTCAGTGCCCCCCCATGTTAAAACACATCTAACGGATGCAGTATTACATATACAGCGATTAAATACAGTGCATCTCACCCATCTCGACAACAAATGCCTGAAAGATCATGTCATTTCTTAGTCCACTGGGAAAAATTCACCAGAGAGGCAGGTACATTGCAATGTTATCCATGCGTTCTCCTGTTGATTTCATGCACCTAGTAACCATTGTAACAAAATCCCCCAACTACATTTCTGAACACAGTTAGTTTAAGATACTCTATAGGAAGACACATTATAAGAGTTTAGAATGTGTAAAAATAATACTCATTTAAAAAAGAAACTGTCGTGGTTATATTTTCACTGAAAAAAAATAAGGTGTTTGATAGACGTTTGTTCAGTACTTCAATGAAAAGATTCGAAACAACTTCTGCTTTTGATACTACGCTTTTCTGTTTGTTTCTTAAATGAGCGATCTGAAATATTTACAACCAGACAGTACCTAATTTTAGGTTTTAAGTGCTTTAACAGCTCCGTGAAACATGATCAGCAGCTGCAATACAGAACTATGGTGAATAAAGTCCTTATAAAGGGGGCCTGTTTTTACTGAATGTTCAGTGTTCCTGCATTTACCTAATAGGAAAAAAAAAGATAATGAAAAAACATAATAAATACCCGTGCTCTTAAATTACTTAACACTTCAGTAAGTCTTAAAAGGATTATCTCCCCTCTTCTTGAATTCTCTATAAAAACGTGAGGTTTCCTTTGGTAAAATAAGTTAATTTTATTATTTGAAAGTTAGAGTATAAAAATTCCCAACATCCTAACTCTTCATGACAATAGTTATGGCTTTTCTACCATTCTGCTTTTTAAAACTCCTGGATAAATTAATTTCAGTGCATAGATTTTTTTAAATGAAATACCAAGCCACATAAATATATTTTTAGACATGGCATCAGTCATTTAGAGCTTGCAACAGAGATTGAAAACATGAAACTGGACACTCTATTTCCCGTGGATATGTAAAATTTATTTACACCCCAAATCACAACATAAATAAAAAGGAAACTCTTAGAAATGGAAAACTGAGTTTTCTTTTTTCTTCTAATTCAAAGAGATTTTTTAGAAGAAAAAATAAATCACAGCAAAATGACAAACTACTCATCTGCCAGCCTCTCTTCAAAAAAGAAACTTTTATGCAAAGGCAAAATTTTTTTTTTCAGTTAGCTTCTACAGATCCTCTAGAATGTAGCATCTGTATTTCCTAATATAAGAATAATGATTGTTCCTGAACCAATTTCTTTTTATACAAATCCTAGGATTTACTTTTTAATTTTAAATTTGAATACATGATTTAAATATTACCTATGAATATATGCATAAAGATTTCCATTTTGTATAAGAGAAATTAACTTTCTAACATCCAATGAAATAAATACTTCCCAGTAAAAAATAAACAAATATTTTTATTTCAGTTATAATTGTGAAACAAGCACTGTGATGGCCTTAAACTGTTGAAGGGTACTCTTGTCAGGTAATTGACAAAGGAAAACGGGATTTTGAAAGCCACATTGATTTTAAACTTTCACTTGTTACGAAAGACAAGATATGTCCCTAACGATTAAAAAAAAGGACAGTTTACAAATAATCTAATTATGTTACTTTCAAAGCTGTAACTGTCAAAAGTCTTAACTTTCTTTCTTGTACAGTCATTTCTAAAAATTGGTTTAACTCTGAATGACTTACAACTTTTAATCGGGTGGAACAAACTATTTTTATGGTTTATAATAACAATAAAAATGGATGCGGTTATATCTGCCTTTGGTATTGTTGCCATAAAAATCAGATTCTGGCAGTCTAGCTCCACACAAAACAGTCTGTCTCTTGTTACTACTGCTACTTATTCCTTGGGATAATGTTATTTAAACCCCCCCCACACACACACAAATGCCTTTGGGTGCAGTCTCCTAAAACGCACCACACCACGTATCAAATATTTTGTTTTAGGATTCTCTCCCCGCCCCCTTTCCTCATTTTTTGGTTCTCCAGCTACAAGATGGCCAGAAACGTTATAGAAGAAGAAGAAGAAAAGGAAACATTTCTACTTAAAACCAAGTTCTGCCCAGGAAAGATTACCAAGTGCAATTCCTTGTCCTGATGGGGTTTTAAAAATAAAAACAAAAACAACCTACCCAACAAAAAACCATCATTGACTTTCAATACTGCCAGTCACCTATGTGTAAATGAAACTCCAGAAGCTGCTAAAGGGGAGTCTGAGGTTGTTAAAGGCTCCTAAGACTCCCACCTACGTCCTGAAGGAGCCTGCACAGAAACTGACAAACGCAGGAGGGTGCAAATCGTGGCCGCTGAGGAGAAGGGCAACAAAATGCCATATTCCACAAGATATGTTTCGCTACATCAATTACGTTGATCCCAGGGTGCCAAGCCAAAAGGGGTAAGGGAAAAAGAAAACTGTTAAGTATGAGCTCTTAATGTGAAACCTAACCTGTTGGTTCTCTTAGGTATCAGATTTTGGAAGTGTCTGTAATGACAGCCAGGAAAGCAAATTAATGGCCAACGGCCCACTGGGTTTGAACATGAGACTCCTGTTACCTCCTCACAGATCAGGTACACAACACACACACACGCACACAGAGATGCTCCACGTGGAACTGCTCCGAAACCAAAACACACGCCCCATCGCTATTCTGCACCTTGGCAGAAAGGGCCCGGGGACCTGCGACTTCCTCCACTGCCCTCAGGTTGGGATTCATGAATGACTGACTGCCCGCTCCGGAGTGCTGCGGAGAGAGGCGCGCGGGAAGAGATGGGAGAGGAGACTCTCTCCAGACCTTCCCCTCCCACCCACCCACTCACCCACACACTCACACACTCTCCCAGAGCAGAGACCTCACTAGCCTTCAAGGGAAGGAGCGAGAGAGGTGGCGGGGACTGACCCTGCCATCCCAAGGAGGGACTGATGGCTCTCTGGTTTCGCTAGCGCCCTGCCAGGGGACTCAGTCCGCAAATTTCCTTACAGTTCCAAGCTGTTCAAATAAATGCTTACAAAGAAAGAGACCTCTTTAAAGTGTTACTAAACGAAAGTTCTGGCTGCTGTGTGGCGCACAATAAAACAAGCCCACAAGCGGTCTCCTTCCGAATCCGGCTTAACCACGCGAAAACAGCCGTTTCCAGTGCCTCCACCAACCCCAGACCCAGCAAACTTTGAAAGGAGAGAAAACCTGCTCTCCGCAGCCAGGTCCCTCCGTTTGGAGAAGTTATAATCCCTCCATGGCATCCGCGTCCCGAGCCAATGAACGCGACTCCTCTGACAAGGCGCCTCTAATTTCACGGACCCTGGCAAGCGGCAGGAAACATTCGGTCCACGCCGCATGAAAACTATTAAAGTGGGATGGCCGCAGTTTAAAAGGCCGGTTCGTGCCTCGAGATTAGAGCACATGCAGGGTACGTACACACGCATGCAGCATCGTGAAAATGCCAGGAGCCTGGGCCCTCCACGGGACCCGGTCAGCATCTCTGCGTCAGGCTTATCTAGGGGGTCATCAAAGTAATAAACAGCACTGGAAGGATGTCGGGGAGACCTCGGGCGCGCGCCCCCGCGAGCCGGGCAGCCTGAGTACAGGTGGGGAGCCGTCCCGCCGTGGCCCTGCAGCAGCCTCGCAGGCTTGGAGAAGACCCACGGGGCGCCGGGTGTCCTCCAGGGCAGAAAGCACCACTGCAGAACCGGCGGCCTGGGCCTCGGGCGGGCGAGCTGCATTCCGCCTCTGGGAGCCCGCGGGGAATCGGGGTGCACACCCCGTCCCGCCCCACGTTCCCTGTCCCCGGGTCTCCGCGTCCCCGGCGGAGCCGCGCGCACTTCCTGGGAGAGAGTTCACAGTCTCCCCGCAAGCCGGACCCCGCGGGCGGGGACGGGGAGAAGGGACACTCACCTCCCTGAAGCCCGGATCGCCTCCGGATCTGAAGTTCAAGTGTCTGTCCCAGCCGCGGACCCGTGCGTCTGTATTTAGGTATTTACTCTCGTTCCTTCCAATGTCGGAGCTTCCCCTTCGCGTTGTGCCTCTGGTGAAAACAGGACATCCCCTTCGGCCACCCCCCGACAAATAGCGTACACTAGTGGGGGAGAAACGGGGCGGGGGGAGAAGCCGGCTCCGAGGGGGAGGAGGAAAGGAAAGGAGCCAAAACTCTGGACTAAGACAGGGGTGGGGAAAAAGTGGAAGAAAAGAAAAAGAGAGCGCGCGCACAGCCACCGCTGTCGCCACTGCCCCGCTTTTCCCTAAGCTCTTTCCCCCTCTGAACCCGAGCGACAACTTCACGTGGACAGGCTCGAAGTTTTGCGCGGAAGCCGTGAGCGGCGGAGCGTGCGCCGCGCCGCGGGCAGCCTTGCACTTGCGCGCGGGATTGGGGGCGGGGGACGCCGGCGCCGTCTCCCGCGGCCACTGGAGGCCGCCGGAGGGGCCCGGGGCGGGCGGCGCGCAGGGACCAGCTCGTTTTTATTCGACTTCGCTGACTGCCTGTTGTCATCGTTCGAGGTCCCGCGTGGGGACCGCTCGGGACCCTTGGCGTCCCCGGTGGCACCGCAATAATCTCCGCGTCCTCCGCGCCGCCCCCACCCCGCCCCCACGGACCTGGCCCTGGCCGCTGCCACCCGCGATTGAGGGGAGGGACCCGCAACCGCACTCCTCTCCCCGGACGAGGGCACCGCTGTCTGCCCCCACCTGCTTCTGCGGGACAGCCCAGGGGTTGCCTCCCACTCCACCGCTACCCAGTCTCCCCGGGTGTAGGCCACTTCGGGCCCTCTACCGGATTCCTTTCCACTTACCCTAGGGGAGAAGACAGAAGGGACTTCTCCTGCTTGCAAAGACGTAAAAGAAAAACCAACCCTCGCCAGTCGGAGGGGACGAAATACCCTTTTGCTTGAAGATGTATGCTAGCATGGAGTAAGCAGTCTGGGGGTAGGCTTGCTGGGAAGGGCCTGGGCCCCTTCCAGCGCTGGGCACAGGTATAGGCATCCCTTCCAGACGCCCAAAGGTCAGGCAGCGTCAGAGCTTCCCCAGGCACATTGCTGAAGTGACATTTCAGAGCCTAAGCCTTAGGAGCCTGCTTTAGGCACCCACATAAGATTTAGTATTCTATACGAGCATATGTGTATACCACAACCAGAGGCCACGGCAAAGTAGACAATTAAAAAAAAATACATAAATTTTGCATCTATTTAATCATCTCTCCCTGAAACCTGTTGTCTATTCTTCTTTAATTGTCACATCCATTTAAAGTGCGTTAATTTATTGAGAATATATGTCAGTCATTAGACTGGTCCCTTTTGATAGGTGTATGCTCACTTAATTTTCACAACTCATAATTGTATGGTGGTTATTTAAGCCCTTGCAAGAGATAAGGAGACTAGGCCCAAAGAAACCTAAGTATCTTCACCGAAGACAACCCAATGGTCTCTAACCACAAAGCCTATGATTCAACAAGCAGCTCCTCACATGGCCTTAGATGTGGCAGTACAGATTACAAGGTAACTAGTGGAATTTACTCCTATTCAAAGAAAATGTAGTTTTAATGTTTTGTAAACTTAAATTATTTTCTGTAAAAAGTTCAGAAAAATATTTCCTCCTTTATTTCAGCTTGGTCTTTTCCAACTGCCACAAGGACTCTAGGGTTTAAAAACAAAAACCAGTATTGAATTGTTATCATTACAGCTTATTTTTTAATTAGTGAGGGATTATCCACAATTATGAACAAGCAATGGAAAAGGTGAGGTTGTAAATTTAAACTGATAAAGGTACTCTCTACTACTCTCACCATTCTGTGGGTGTCGATCTTGCCTGCAGATTTATTTTGAAGGCCTAGACCTGCCAAGAACCATGTTCCTTTTTCTGCTTCTCGAGGTGGAAAGGATTCTGGTGGCAGATTTGGTGCAAAAACATTTGGAGCATGATCCACAGCACGTCGTGGCATGAAGATGTCGGTTAATATACACATAAGACAGACATATCAATGAGGGGGCGCCTGGGTGGTTCAGTGAGTTAAGCCTCTGCCTTCGGCTCAGGTCATGATCTAAGGAGTCTGCTTCCCCCTCTCTTTCTGCCTGCCTCTCTGCCTAATTGTGATCTCTGTCAAATAAATTAAAAAAAAAAAAGTATCAATAGGTAGAGTTCATTAACTTTGCAAATCTTATTTTCCCCCATTTTACAGGTGAGAAAATTAAGGGCTCAGAATTTGTAGCAGCTTCTTAATAAATGGCAGACCTAAAATTCAAACCAGCCTCTGTGCAACCCCAAAGACCACTGTTAGCCACTGTGATGCTATTATTATTCACAGAGTAGTCAGAAAAATAATAAATATTTTTAGTACACTGTGTATGTTGCAATGACTGTACCAAATACATAAAAAGTAAATGCAAATGCTGAATTTGATTCTCTCCTCATAAGGCCACAATTTTTGAATTTCATTTTGGTATGAAACATTACTTCTAAATAAAGGTGGGGAGATGTACAATCTGGATACAGTAAAATTTCATACTCTAGCATATTGTTCATACAAAAAATAATTTTTTGCATGGTTTTTTACTCCCTTCTAAAATCAGATTTTTACCAAGACTGACCTTGCTTTCAATTTACTTTGTTCCCATCTGATTTTTTATATACCTTTATAAAAATGTATTTACAGAAGTTATTTTTAAAAACCTACAATTATATCACAATACTAGTATTCAACTTCTTATTACTATCTTCGAGTATATCTAGTCTTAAATGTACATATATTACATGGACACTAACAGGAGTGATATAAAATGTCATATATCAGTCCAAGTTTGAAATAAGAAATTGAGCATAGGAAACAAAGAATTTTGAGGTTGTATAGGCAAAATGTATTGCTTGTTTAAATAAGCATTTTTTCCAGCATTTCTATTGAGTATCACTTTTATAACTATTGCTATATCCTCTGTAATAATTTAACTTAATACTTTTCTTTAAACTATTTGTATTAAAAGTTTATCCGACAAAAGAAACTTATCATCATCATAAGTGGAAAAAATCAATATTATCATAAATAGAAAACAACCTTGCAAATGAAACTGTATTATGTAAATAAAAATTATTTATTCTAAGCCACCTAAAATTATTTCACCCACAAGTTTGAGAAACACTGGTTTAAAGAATTACATTTCTTATGTCCCTCAGGCTCTCCAAAACATATTTTCAAGCCTTTCCTTTCCTTTACTGTAGAGAAACATTGAGTCCAAGATGCTTTGAGGTGTTACCTTTAAAACTCTGTTTTAATTCAATTATTGATTTCCTTGCCTAAAATATACATTTCTGAAATTGAAGTGTCTTTTTAAAGTTAATTGATTTTTTATTACTTTTCTTAGCATCTTACTTGTGGTAAAATTCGAACAACTCATAAGTATACAATTAAAAACCAAATTAGTCTCTAGAGAGACTATACCAGTTACCCCTCACTCTCCCCTTCCGCCTGACCCCTCAAAACTTCATCATAGGCCTTAACTTCTGAGAGAGAAACTCCAACTGTTAACCTCGTGAAGTGGCGGCATCTATTGGCCTCATCTGGTACTGCAACAAAGTTCTACAAGGCAAGGCAGGGGAGAGGAAAAAGTAAGACAATGAGAGGGAGTCAAAGAGCTTGAAAAGACAGATGGGAAAGTCTGAAATCTTCTGGAAAATTCTGGAAGTGATTCAGAAACACTAACAGACCCTACATGACACGAATCAGGTCATCAGAATATCCATAAATGTCCAACTTAATCTGAGAAAAGACATGTATTTGGGAGCAAAAAATGTGACTTTATGTGAAAATCAGGGGAAACCGAAGATTCCCTTATTAGTAATTCCTTTAGCCAACTGCTCCAGGGCGGGATGCTTCTACAGTTCTCATCTACTATTTGTTTATTTTTCAAGTGTGCATAGTACTGTTTGGCATTGGGTTTTATAGAAGACAAATGAAACAAACAAAGCCCTCTAGGAGCTCAGAATCCAAAACATAATTTTTATTTTAATTTCATTTAAAAGCAACCTTAAGGGAAGATCATCCTGTCATTTAGTAAAAACAAAATTTAGGCTAAAAAATTTTAATAAGACACTGCCTTTACCAACAAAAGAAAGCAGAAGACGGGATGCTTATAGAAATAATCCCAAAATAGATCTTTTGGGTAACTCCATTGGTGGACCTTTGAACTCCAGCTGGAAGTATACTCAGTTCTTAAAAACAAAAAAACAAACAAACAAACAAACAAAAAAAAAAGAAAAGAAAAAGAAAGTCATTGAATTGTTTCTTAGTAAGTTCTAAGCAAACCCTTTGAGCTTTGGGAGAACGGCCTTTCAGAGGCCAGCATCCATACAAAGTAGGTTTAACACTGTTTTACTCAACTACTCTACCAATGACAGATTACAGGAACAAATGAAGATAAGACACAATTGTCCAGGAATCTAAAGTGCTATGCTGCTGAATTACGAAAATCCGTAAATAAACACATATTCTGAGTAATTTTGTGCAAACAGATCAAACTTAAAAAGGTTTCTACTGGTTTATGAAAGTGAAGAAATCGGATCTGCAAGGGACCTGTTGGGTCATTCTCTTCTGCTGGACTTCCTCATTCTTGGCAGAGTCTCTAAAGAAAAGGAAATAAATGCATACTCTCTGGGAGACAGCTTCATTATATTTACTTTTAAATTCTCTCTTGAAATTTTTTCTCCAGTTAATTCCTTTTAGTACCATATTATGCAATTCTACTCTATCTTTCATGTTTACACCCAACCTTCAGATGTTTATAAACAGATATCATGCCCACTTTTAGTCATCTGTGAGCCACGTTAAACAAATGTAAGGCCTTTTAATCTTGTTTCAGCTCAGTCTCTCCAAGCCCTTAATCATTCTTATTGCTTGTCTCTGAACTATTTCCAGGTTCCTAGATGTTCATTTTTTGTTAGACGGATCCCACATTGAATGCATTGTTCCAGGTGTGGTCTCATTAGCATACTAGAATGAGTTTTCCTTTATTTTTTCTTTTTCTTCCGTGGTCTTATGTTTTGACTTCATTACAAACTCCCACCAACTCCTGCTACTTTACATATTCTCACAAACTTATATGTAAGTTTTTCTATATTTTCACTTCAGAGTTTCTTCTAGCATACTGAAATAATCTGGATTTTGCAAGTACTTTACATGCATAGTTCTAAGTGATAATAAGTCAATATATGAACAAATGTTTCAAATAAGGAAAGATCTAACTAACCTCTTTTTTAATACAACTCTTAATTATATATCTTTATGATGTCCATTTATTTATAAAAGATATCCACTGATTACAATGTCAAAATCCACCAATGGTAATTCCCAAGTGCCCAAATTATGAAGGGCAAATAAATTGATTTGACAATTTTAAGATAATGCATTTGGCATCATTAACTCCATTACCTATTTACACTATAAAAGCTCAAAGT